GCAGTACAGGTGTACTACTTGAACTTAATTGATGTAGTTTAGTAGCCTTTATTATTATTTTGGTGATAGATTTATAGTCAAAAAGATTAGGCTGAATTGGTGTTTATTTATCGTCATTTTTATTGGGATACATTTTTTAGTCCATATCGCCCATCCCTAGTGTTTATCAGCGAATTAGCAGAGCTTAATTAGCAGCTATTCACTCCAGTTTTAGAGCCACTGAACTACACTGAGATGCAATATATGTATTCCTGCAGTCACAAGAGGATCAATTGTCCATTTACCTGTTTTGGATCAAAGAGGGCAGGCCATCGCTCCTTGAATTCTGTCACATGCATGGCCTGGCCAACCACTTCCCTTCTTCTACAGCTGTATGTTCTGGACATCATGTCATTTATCCTCTGAACGTTGTCCTTTGTCCTGCTTGCTTCAATGAGCTCCAGTCTCAAATTCTCCAGGCTGTCGTCTGTTTCTCCGGCTGGGTGTGGCGGAAGGTAGTTAACCTCAGATTTCCTCGGTTTCTTGATATTTTTGGCAGGTTTTCTATCACCCTCCTGCTTGTGTTTCATTGTATTTATCAGCAGTTCGGGGTTTCCGTGAGCTTTAAGTTTGCTCCGGTAGTTTGCACATTTGTACTTCAAGCTCTGCTGCCATCCGTAACATCCGTTAAAAGAGCCAGGCTCCCTCAAGCAGGGATGCTTCTCTATTAGTGCCTGTGCAACAGCGGTCCTCTGTGGGTCATTGGGATAAGCTGTGTAGGAAAACATGGCCTCTGCCAGACGCTCCAGAATGTCTGATTTGACACTGGGGGATGTCAGCAGGGTTCCATCTTTTAGAAACTTCTCGTTGCCTTGCCTCAGAGCCATCTCAGTGTTGTAGGAGAAGGTTGGGATGGGAAAGATGGTGGGCCAGAGGTTGTGCCTCTCAGTGACAGGGGGACTGGGGATCAGATTGTCTTGTGAGTCCACAGAGAGCATGTCATCCACAGAGGACACATCAGATGTGTCTGGGTTGGGTTCCTGACGGACCGTGGTCATTATTATGCCTGGTGGCATGTGCACGACTTTGAGTGTGTCTTTATCCTTCAAATCACTTGTAGAGGTAAGCGTGAAGAAGTCATCAAAGTCAGCATCTTTGTACTGGAGACCTATGGCTGTGGTGATGGAAAACGCTTGTTGAAACACTTTTATCAAGTCCTCCACAGATGAAGGGAGGCCATTTTGGAAAGTTATCTTCTTGATGTCGTGATCGATGATGACTCGAAATCTCACAGGTTGTTGCGCCTCTGCGAATTAAGGAAACACAGAAACTGTCACACATTGACAGGTGTAAATGTTACCCTGTGGGTTTGTAAATGAGTACTGTCGTGCTAAAGAGAAATCTTGTTCTCCAGATGTAAGAAAACATGTTTGTTTGGTACAGAGCCCAACAAATGCCACATCATCATTTTTTCCAGTCAAAATTAAAATTTGTGGTGAAAAAAATGTACATTCACACACTAATCATGAATCATATCGCAATCACAATATCGTTCAAATTAATTGCAATATGATGTTTTTACCATATTGTGTAGCCCTACAATAGTTATAATAGTTAGTACTCCTGGAGGGCTGCAGATAGAGGGCTGATATAGGAGTTCAGAGTGTCACTGAATTGCAAATCTTCGTATTGATCAGCAGTAATAATGGACACTGACAAAAATCTGTGTTTATTTGGATATAGAGCAGGGAAGTGAGATCCGGTCACAAGTGGTCACTGGAGACGCATTCTAATGCCAGGTGTAAACTGAAATACTTAGGTCTAAAAAGGGCCTAAGCTTCATTCAAAACACTTCAATAACCTTACAACAATGCATATGTGATCGCTGTCTTCCATCCCGTACCTGTACATGTTCTGAATCCTGAACAATAACAGAATGCAGCCGATAAGTAGCTCTTCTTGGGGCAGCAGTAGCTCAGTCTGTGGGGACTTGGCTTGGGAACCGGAGGGTCGCTAGTTCAAGTCCAGCACAGACCACAGTATGGGGTGTGGACTGGCAGCTGGAGAGGTGCCCTTGAGGAAGGCACTGAACCCCTAACTGCTTGCAGAGTGCCCCTACGTGACCATCACTCCACTATCTCTCCACATTTGCATGTGCATTACATTTGTTTGTGTAAAGTAAAAGTGAAAAAATAATTTCCCCATTGGGGATTAATAAAGTACATCTTCTTCTTAATTAACAGCTTTCAGGCTGGCTGGGGCTGGATGTACAGAAAGCTGCATTATTGTATTAAAAGGGTCACTACACTGATTTTACATATTTACACAGTCAGTTCAGAGAAAACTGTTGTATATGGAACTTTTTCAGCACATTCCCAAAACTCACAAAGGGGAGCGCTAACATGGTTCCACAGCAGCCACACTGACAAGGAGACCAGCAGATCTTATGAGCACTACCATTGGCCAATGTCAGGTAATCGGCCCGATTAATCGGCCTATCACTAATTTATATACTGTATCTTGCTGGTTGTTTTGGTGATGCTTTCTGCTGCTGTTAATGTAGAATGCTGTTTCATTTATGTACACTTAATAAAAACGTGTTGCACCTTCTGTGGTCAGTTGTACACATGTTGCAAAGTGGAAGTGCAGCTTATTGTTGGTGGCGTGATCTCGTTTCACTTGTGTATATGTTGACATTTAATGCAGTTTATTTTGTAGCCTAAATACGTTTTTCTATCTTTTAAACAGTACAATCATATATCAGCATTTTTTCTTTATGTTTTACAGGTAATGTTGACATAGAACATAACTAAATCAAAGGACATGTGTGTATAGTAGCATCTAGTGAAGTTTCAGATTGTCTTTTAAGTGTGTGGGAGAAACAACAATGGCTGCAAAATTCGTGTAAAATGCGAAAGGCCCCATATACAGATTGCCTGTTCTAGGTTACTACAGTCCATCCAGGATTTTGCTGGCTTTTTAGGTGGAAGGATTGTTGCGGTACTAAAATGCTTGATTATATGACAGCTTTTATCTTTTTAGGCTTTTTTTGTTTTGCAATCAAATTGTGTGATAAAGTGAATACTGTTTTTGTATAATTCTTGAAAAAAATCAAAGGGAGCTTGTTCCAGCAAGAATAAATGGTAAATGGTAAATG